AAAGGAAGGCATCTGAGGTCTTTGAGCAAACAAGTGAGAAGATCTGACTTACATTTGCGAAGACTCTCTGACTCACAAGGCCAAAGACAGATGCCCAGAAGCCAACTAGGAAGCTAACTGCAAAAATCTCTAAAATGGGTGATTATTGCTCAAACCAGGGGGGTAGCAGTATAGGTGGTGAGACATGGTCAGATTCTGGAGCTATTTTGAAGCTAAAAACAACAGCTTTTGCTGAAGGAATCCATGTGGGAATTAAGAGAAAGAGACTCTAAGGATGGGAAGAATGATTTGCCACTTGCAGAGATGAGCTGATTATAACAGAAGTAGAATTTGAGATAAGATCTTAAGTTAATCTTGGACATGATATATTTAAGATGTAGTCCAGGCATAGTGGCAAACACCTGTAATCCTAGTACTCTGGGAGGCCAAGGCAAGAGGATCACTTGAGGTCAGGAGTTCAAGACCAGCCCGAGCAAGAGAAAAACCCCATCTCTACAAAAAACAGAAAAATTAGCCGGGTGTGGTGGTGCCTGTAGTCCCAGCTACTCGGGAGGCAGGAGCAGGAGGATTGCTTGAGCCCCAAGTGTTTGAGGTTGTAGAATTATGATGATGCCACTGCATGCTAGCCCAGGTAACAGAGCAAGACTGTGTCTCAAAAAAAAAAAAAAAAAATGCCTATTAGACATCCAGATGGAAATGTCTACCAGACAGTTGGATCTTTAGGTTCCAAGTTCAGAGAAGAGGTCAGCAGCTTATAGATGGTATTTAAAGCCATAAGATCAGATGAGATAACAAGGGAATAAAACCAAATAGAGAAGAGAAGTTTAAGGAATGAGGCCTAAGGCATTCCAGGTAAAGAATTTATGGACAGAGAAAAACCAGCAAAGTAGATTAAGAAAATGCAGCCCCTTTAATGAAAGGAACAGGAAAATGTGATGAACTGAAAACCAAGTGGAATGAAAAATATTTCAAGGAGGAAAGAGAGTAAGAGGAGGTCTGCGAAGTCACAGACCAACGTGATGACGGCGTCTCCTAGCACAGTAGAAGCAAGAGTGAGTTCACAACAAAACATCAAGCACGGAACAGAAACCCATAAGCACACAACTCCGATGAGCTTTGCCATAAAGAAGAGCAAAGCAATGAGGCGGTGAGCTAGCGGGGATATGAGGTCAACACAGACACCTTTCTCTCTCTCTTTCCTTCTGGAAAATTGCAGTGTATCTCTAGGCTGATGGGAAGGATCCAGTTGGGGCAGAACTGGTCACAAGGTGTGGAGGGAAGAATCGCTAGAGTTGTGTCCTAGAGTCAGTGTGAAGGGACAAAACCCAGGGCAGCAGAGAGGCTGGCCTTAGCCAGGAGCATGGGCAATTCAGCCGCGGCACCAGAAGAGACCACGAATGTGAGAACTGCAAGAAGGGGAGTTGGGATGGAGGACAAGGCTTGTGAAAATCCTCTCAGGATTGCTTCTGTTTTCTCAAGAAAATAGAAAACAAGATCACCAGTTGAGACTGAGGATGGTGAAGAAGATGTGAGGAAAGACAAGACAAAGAAAAAAACAAAAAACAAACAAAAAGTCATCCAGGAGAACGTAAAGTAAATGTAAGATACTGGCCATGCATTTAAAGGAAGGCCAGGCAGCTGGCTGGGCTGCCAGCTAACCAGGAGTGAGTGCAGACAGCAGGGACAGCTGGAGACCACCAAGGCTCAGGCTTCACCAGGCCCTCATGCAATACGGTGGGACGGGGGAAGGGAGCTGAGAGCATGTACAAAGGACTGGTGCTAACAATGGCCCAGGAATTTAAACCGCATAAGGAAGTAGCGCTATGGGAGAAATAGGAGCTGGGGGCTAAGGAAAAGTTACCAGGATAAGTGGCATGTTAAGTCTCTACACTGAAGAATCGTAGGCAATGCAGTACTAGAAGAGAGCTGGGAAAATAAGAGGCGGTAGCTAGAGAGAGGGATGCTTGACTGTGAGATCAGGCAAGAACTTGAGTTCCTGCTGATGGCAGGGCATGGGTTACGTCCAGGCATGAGGGGCTGAGGCAGACGATCCAAAAGGAGAGAGCACTAGTTTGCAGGTGGGGGGAGGAGGGGATGCGTATATTCACACCTAGCGGGTGCGGTGCGCACCGTCTTGGGGATGGACACGTTTATAGCTCTGACTCGGGCAGGGCAAAGGTAATATATGTAACCTAAACATTTGTACCCCCATAATATGCCAAAATAAAAAAACGGAGAGGGCAAGGAGTTTCCCAGAGTGTCAGAAAGGCCATGTGTATGGACACTGAAATCGCCGTGAATACGGCAGGCATGGAACGCCCTAGTCAGAGAGAATGACGAGGAACAAGGTGCTAAAATCAGCCAGGAAGGAGCAGGAATGGCCTGGGAGGTGAAGCGATGACGGGAAGAGGTCACAGTCTGATGACACAAGGTTCAAAGTGTTGGAGAGCACCAAAAGAGAACAAGAGGACACCTACCCAAACTATGGGGGTGTGGGGAAGAACAGAGCCACCAAGTGAGAGCACTGCAGGAGAAGCATCGTGTGCTGAGAGAGCCAAGTTTCTTTAAACAAGAAGATGAAGGTTGAAGACACGGGTTTTTGATGGTTTAACTCTCCATTCCAAAGGGTATAAGCAGAGAGCTTCAGGAGCTAGGAGAAAGTGGAAAATCAGTTCAGCAATGGGATGCATAGAGACATGGGGGCAAAGGGTGCAGGATGCAAAGGACCTGGGGGTTCTGGGCCCCTTATACTGTCCATCATGAAGAGGGGGGAAGGGCACAACGGACCCATTAGTCCTGAGGGTCTCGAGGCACAGGGCAGAAGAGAGGCTGTGTGCCGAGGGACAGGAAGGGTGGGTGTCTTGCCAAGGTCATGGTGAGTTATGTGGACATCTCTCTACTCCTGCCAGGATAATGGGGACATGGGAGAGGGCTTGTCTTAGCCAAACGACAGGAGCTCTGGGGTCCCGCCTGCTCTAGGAACACACAGAACTCCTTCCCCTCTTTCTTTTTTTCAAGTTGTTTAAACACTAGATAAAAATCTATAGGTTCTTGCCCTCTTTGCCCCCTTTTCTTCAGTTGACTAGCCTATAATCTGGAGACTTAGAGCCCTAACTCACCTGCACCACATCTGGTGCTCAGGACATGCAATGAACAAAAAGGGGAAGGAGAAGGAGTAGAGAGCAGACTGGACCGGACAGCTTCTTCGGGCTGCTGATCAGCATTATAATAGCGCACAGCTTTGCTTCATTTTACAAACACATTTTATGAGATAATGACAATATAACAAGAACAAAACCTCCCTACAGCATTAAACCTACAGCATCATCAAGCGTCAGATAAGAACACTGGAGAAGTCACAACCAGGCACTCCGTCATAAAGCTACACTGATTTGTCACTTTTCGAGACAGAGTCTCGCTCTGTCACCCAGGCTGGAGTGCAGTGGTGCAATCATCGCTCACTGCAGCTTCAAACTCCTGAGCTCAAGCAATCCTCCCATCTCAGCCTTCTGAAATGCTGGGGTTTCATACTGATATTTTATAAACCGGGCATGAAAACTCAACTCCAATAATATAACAACTACTACGAACAGTCAAGAAAAAAAGTACCTTCAAGAAAAAAAATAATGTTATTCCTACAGTAAAGCACTTCTTGATATTGTTTAAGTAGCATGTTTGCTAAGATAACCATAAAGCTGAGCTCAGAGTAAGCCACGCAGATGTCCCAGAGTCCTGTGATGCACATCACACATCCAACGCGCGCTAAGAAAAGCATACTCAACGTGCCATTGGAAAAACGCCACCATGAATTACGGGATAAATCAACACTGTAATCTGTATTTTTTAAAAGTCTTTACTCTCATTATTCTGCAGTTCTTTTTAATACCAAAAGTAAAAAAATTAAAACTTTACTTTTGTTTTATAATTTAAAATATAAAATAGTTGTTACAACAAAACACATTTGACATAATACTAGCTTAAATAAAATAAAAATAAAATTTAAAAAGTTTAGCTTACTAACTTCCTATTTCTATACTTTCTTTAAAAATGCCTTTAATTTCTTCCCAGCTTTACTGGATTCAAATTTCTGGCCTCCAAAATTGTGAGATAATAAATATATTTTGTTTTAAAAGATCAAAAACACTGGCGAAGCATGATTTTTTTATCTTGTCTTTTCCTCTGCACATTTTGATAAACATACTCTACTGAAGCTCACAATTCTTAATCTATATTAGTCAAAATGTCCATTTTGCCATAGAACCATCTATGGTATAAACATAAATCATTCAGCCTGTTATTTACCACCTGAAATAGTCCACAGTGGCTAACCAGAAGCAAACCACAAAATCGTAATAATTATCCTAACATATCATTAATGAGTTTCACTGAAAATATTTCAGACAGCTTATCAGTTATAAACAGTGCATGGTCTACCAAAATTGTATGTACTAAAATTATACTTAGCATTAGCTATCATATCAATTCCTCATCCTCTCCAAAACCAATCCATCTCTTCTCTATGACATTTCTATGTTCATTGGGGTGTTTTATTTATTTTGACTTGGCTTTATTTTATAATACATTTAGCCTTCTAGCAAGAATTTCTTTTTTAATTTCTTTGATATAACAAACTACTTTTGAATTTGAGGAAAAAAAAGATTTAGAAAGATTCTGGAAATACTTTTTTTTCCCTACCGTGGAAGAGGAAAGTGAGAAAAAGCTATATTTTTGTTTTTGTTTTATTTTGATCAGACTTAATTTAAATTCTTTAATTCATGGAGAACTATATTTTACCTTTCCTGGATCTTAGCCCCGCTAGATTACAGCCGAGCCCTGCGGCAAACTTTCTTCAGCGGAAAAGTTCCCTTATTACTCCTAAGTCTTCACCCCTCACAACAGCACAAAACACCGAGAGGTTTCCTTTTTTTACCCTTCAATTATCTGTCTTTTCTTTAATTAAAAATTTTTTATTCTGGTCTAAATAAGTAATATATACATACCATTTAGCCGTCTCTGGAGTGATTCTTCCTCTAAGGTAATAATATAAATTTGTTCATCCAGGTCTTCAAGAATCTAAATTTAAAGATAAAACTATTCAACAGCGCAACATTAAAAAACCAGTGTTTATGAAGATGTTTAGGCTATTTGACCTATTATTTTAGATAATGTATTCATTCAAATTACTAAGCACCCAAATTAAAAATGCTCAAGCTATTTTATTTACAAATTAAGTATATTTTCACATATAACACATCAAACGTTGATTATCGCAAAACCTACATACAAATTGGATATTTTTAAAGTTTAAAGGATTAAACTAAATAACTCTGCTGTTTTCTCAATGGCAAATAAATGCATGAATTTTAAACAGCCAAAAAGCTAAATACAGTAAATATCTCTACCTGAGCCAATGTTTTAGAGCTAGATTTGTTTTCTCATTTATGATCCCCTACATAATGTCTAAAACAAAGAATCCATATGCTACATCAATAACATGCAATACTTTCCATTTATGTCATCTTTATGTACTAAAAACATTCCATAAATATTGAAGATTGCTATTATCAAAATCATCCAGTAGAATCCTAGAGAAGTGGTATGTTTACATATAAACCACTCAACACCAAGCCACACAATACTAGTTCAAAAAAAAAAAAAAAAACACTAATCAGTTACCAACTGTATGGGATATTATCTGCAAAGTCTTCAAAATTGATAAAACCTAAAATTGGTTTAATTCTAGTTTTGTTAACACAACTATCCTTCTACGAAAGGATCTTAACTATCTTCCTAGCTCTGGGGAAAATCTGAAAGCCCAGAGCTGATATCAGTGTTCCATATCATTCACACCCAAGCTACTTATTCTCGGCAAAAAAATAAATTGTGAGAAGTTAACGGACAAAACAACAGGATGGAAACTATATATACATATATATATTTTATATATACAAATAAAATATATGTATTATAGATGTATACACACACACATATATGCATGTGTGTGTGTGTATGTGTCTGTGTGTGTATATATATATATAAACCTTTCAGCTGCCCAATAAGGTATTTTCAGAAAACAAATTCTCAAATCATGCAATCCCTATCAGGTATCAATTTATACGGTTTATGTGAAATTTATTTAAAGCGATTTAATAAGTCTCAGTCTTTCAACAAATATCTATGGTCCTCTGTAGCCTGAGCTAATGACTGGATAAACATACTCTCTACCCTTGGGAGCCTAAACTTGGGAGGGGAGAAAAAAATAAAGAATAAAATAAGAATAATTAATAATAAACAAACAGACATACAAATAATGACAAAGAAAGACCACTCATGAGGGATAAAGGGGTGGGAAGGAAGGGAAGGGGAGACCTAAACAGGCCAGCCAGTGAGGCCTCTCCAAGGAGATGACACGTGAGCTGAGTAGCACATGCCGGAATGTGTGACGGTCCTGAGGGAGAGAGAGTGGTACACTGAAAGGACCGACTGGATGCAGTGAGCTGGGGGAGTAATCCCGGATGGAGCTGGGGTTTACAGGAGTAGACATGCACCATATATCTCGGGGGCCATGACCCAAGGTTTCTTTCCCATTGGTGCTTCACCTCACTTTGTACTGTTTAGATCAGAATTGGCAGTTTTTACTTTTCTTAAGGTCTAACCAATAAAAGGATTTTTATCTTGCTGTGCAAATTGTCCAATAATCACTTACCACCAGAGGTATGTCTTAGTATGACAATGAGTAGCACACAGATATGTGTGTTAAGTGCTGTAAGCATTATCCCCCTTGACTTCTGCAACCCCATGAGGAACAAACTGTTGCCATCCCCACTTTATATTGTAAGAAACAAAGGTTGAGCAAAGAAAAGTTGTGTGCCTTTGAGGCCTATCTTCATAACTCCTATGAGCTAATGGGCTTAAATATGAGTAACACAGTCCTTGACCTCACACGGATTATATTCTAGTGTAGCAGAAGAAATAGGATGAGTTTTTTAAAATTATAAGATTAAAATAAATGTCATAACTGAAACTTAAATAAAATATTACAAAAGTTCAAAGAAGAAAGATTACTTCTACTTGGGGAGAAAAAGTTTTGCCCAGTGTTTTTTTATTTTTTTTCTATAAGAGACGGGGTCCACTATGTTGCCCAGGCTGATCTGAAACTCTGGCCTCAAGTAATTCTCCCACCTCAGCCTTCCAAAGTGACGAGATCACAGGCATGAGCCACCACACCTGGCTTGGGCAGTGTTTTTGATGGTAGTAGTACCTTACCTGATAGCTTAAATTACTAAAAGGAGGAAAGACATTTCAAACAGAGGAAACTATAAGCAAAACACAGAGGAGGAGAGGGATGAAGTCCACTCAGACGAAGGCAGTTCTGACTCTGGCGCTCATGGCAGAATAGAACAGTGATCCAAAGCCTGTGCTCGAACCCTGCTCCATATCATAGATCTATGATATTGTACAAACTACTTAATCTCCCTGAACTGACATTAATTCAGCCATAAAACAAGAATACCACTACTTATCTTACGGGTTTGTCATCGGGATGACATAAAATTATGTGTGTAAAACATAGTGCTTATCACTAGCATGTAGTATATACTCAGTTACTCAATAAATAACCTTTATTATTACATGCTAGGAACAAGAAAAGAGGCAAAGATAACTGAGGCTTTGAGGATATTGTAATAGAAGACAAGTCTGGGAGAAAAATGGGTTTGGGGAGCAGAGTTTGCAGCTCCATGGGGCGTTCAGTCGCAGCACTTACAGATACTGTACTTTGTTTCCATCGTCTGTTGCTCGTTAGAATCGGGCATTTAGAAGCGCTGTGCACAGAGACGGTCAGGCACTGAGAGCAGAGCACTAACAGAATTTCAGACCAAGGACAGAAATTTAAACATTTGTCTATATTTAGGGGGCGGGAAATAGAAATGAAGCAAGAGATCAAAAAAAGAAAACCAGAGAAGTAAGAAGAAACTAAATGAATGCAGTGTCATAGAACCTCTCTCAGAGGAAAGTGAACTTTAAGATCTGACAGCATGATGTTGTACTTGAGTATACATTTATATATTTTCATAAAATACATTTATGTATTTTTTATAAATTAAATTTTACTTTTAAAAGAAGATATGAAGTGATACGACTTTCAATTAAGCAAACATTTACTAAGAGAATATCCACTCTAACATTTCCTCAGTGTTCTCCCTTAACGAATCATGATAGGGAAGACAAACACATGACCGTAACGATTTAATAATATTACTAGTGAGATACAAACAAAGGGGATGTGAGAAATGCAGAGGAAGGAGTTTAATTATTTTTACTTAAAGAAGTGAGGCAAAGTTCAAAGATACGCAGTGAGCAGAGCTGCTCTTTGAGAGGGGCCTTCCGGAGGCCGCTGGGTGGCTGGGATAGGTGGGAGGCACTGCAGGACAGAGACGGGCGAGGAGGAGCGACAGAGCCTGGCCAGAGCAGCGCAGCCGGCTGGGGAGTGAGCAGGAGAGGCCTGAGGGACACACATGAGGGGGACGGGCTGCGAGAGGCCTTGTAACATGTAAGTAGTTTAGACTTGACGTTGTAGGCAATGAGGATCCATGAAAATAAATTAAGTGACAAATTCCCTAGGTACAGATAAGAAACTATTTTTATATTATTAAATATCTGATAAAATAGAAACCAACACTCTTAGGGGTAAATCATTAGAATTGCTACCAGTAGAAAATCATTTTTAAGTGAATATACAGTATTTCTGAGATTAAAGGCAAAGTATAATTCAATTAATCAAGATATAATATGCAGATAAATTTTCAGAAACATAACTGCTTTGTAAATCAAAGCATACATGTGCTAAATTTTGAAACATAATAGAGTACTGTTTGATATAAGGCAACAAATATCTAAAATAACTGCAAATACATATGAAAATTTTGTTTTAAATTTTGCTAGAAAAATTTTTACCTCAGTGCCTATTAGTTAGTATTTTAAAAGCAAAACCAAAATTGATTTCCAAAGATGAAAAAGATTTTAAAAAAACAATTAGAGTGATAAACCTATAAAAATATTCTTATTTCTAAATGCTAGTTCACAATCTAAAAGATGCTGAAATGTAAACACATTTATTTAATAAACAAAATTATTTATAATAGAATACTTACTGTTGGCTTCACCAGCAACTGACCCATCACTGTGAACATACGGGAAAGGCCGACTGGTGTGCACACTGCAGAGATGAGACCACAACAGAGAGAAACTGCACTTCAGAGCTGGGACAGATAAACAACTGGCCCATAAGAAATAGAGCCAGGTCAAAGATTATTATTTTAAGAATGTTCTTGTCTCCAATTTAGATTCTCAGTGTTTTGTCAGAGGACTGTTCAGCTTCATCAATAAAAAGCTAGAGGGGCGTTACTACAGCTAATGAAAGAGATATGAAGACAGAAGAAGATTTAGGATAGTCAAGATTCTAGCAGTTGAATAGGAATAAACACTTTTGCTTAAAAGAAGCTAAAGAAAACCAAGCAGAGAACAGATTAAATTTCAAGTATTAATAGAACTGAGAACCAGATAAGAATATCTAAAAGCAACAACTATAGTCTTAAGTCTTTTGAACTACATTTACCTAAGATAGGTTTTGATGCTACAAGTAAAACAAAACAAATTTTGAAGTAAAAACTACAAATTCATCATATAGAATTCTACCATTTCCATTTAAAAGCAGTTTCTAGGCTAGGTGCAATGGTTCATGATCATAATCCCAGCACTTTGGAAGGCCAAGGCAGGAGGATCGCTTGAGCCCAGGAGTTAGAGACCAGCCTGGGCAACATAGCAAGACTGTGTCTCTAAAAAAACAAACAAATAAAAATTAGCCAGGTGTGCTAGAGCACACCTGTAGTCTCAGCTACTCAGGAGGCTGAGGTAGGAGGATCACTTGAGCCCAGAAATTTGAGGCTGCAGTGAGCTATGTTTGTGCCACTGCATGCTAGCCTGGGCAACAGAGCAAGACTCTGCCTCTAATTAATTGATTGATTGATTGATTGACTGATGCAGAATCTAGCATTGTGATGGGGTGGGAGGAGGAGCAGGGCATGTGTGTATAAGTGTGTGGTATGTGTCATTGTGTGTGTGAGTGTGAATGTGTCTCTCTATATATAATTCAATGGATGAAGCCTTCCTTAGAGAACAAAAGTATCTTATTATTTCAAAGTTTCTGTTTATCAAAATTTATTTTAAACAAAAAAAAAGTTAGGGCCCACTCAGAAAAATCTCCAAGTTGTTAAAGTATCTCATGATTAAATTTTCCCATAGATTTTCCAGAATACAGGACAATTAATTCTACTTTCCTATCAATAATAAGTCAGAAAAATACTTACAGAGAAGTAACAAACATCCCATCAATGATATACAGGAATATAAATATGGTAGATAGAACTCCCAGAGATCTATAAGAAGAGTAAATATATTTTAATAAATCCAAAATACTACACATTAAGATATAGTTAGTCTGTATTAAGATAAGATATAGGCTGACTATATCTTAATATACAGTAAATATCGTAATTGCCTGTTTGAGTCTACTAAACCATATAATTTCTAAATTGTACAATAAAAAGATCTAAAATAGAAGAACAGGAAATAATCCTTTTGTAAAACCTGTTTGGAGGGAGAAAAAAAAGGCTCCATGGAATTTAAAAACAGAAACCAATTAACCAAAAAAAAAAAAAAATCTGAAAAGTTGCTTACTCATTCTGCATATATGAAATGAACATTCATTTCTTTTCATAAACCTATCTAAAAATGTCTCAATTCTGTAAATTAACATGAAAAGTTAACTTAAAAAGAGTCATTAAAATATTTTTTAAATTTAATGTGTAATTATATCCCAAACTATAGTTTCCCTTATAGAAACTGGTTAAAATAAATAAATGCATACCATATAAAGATTCCATACTGGCAGCATCATTGTCAATGAGCGCTGAGGCTACCCACACTATCCCAAGAATCAATAATGCAAGAAGAACCAGCATGACCAGAGTTTCTAAAATGCGGGCTCGGATCCCCTGAAAAATATAAGAGATATTATTTTAGTATTTTATTTTATCTCATGAACAATAAGCTTTCTACCCATATGAAAGCATAAAATAATCCTTTGGAAAGGGAGGAAATTCATATTTATTAACAAGAAAAAAAACACTAAATGCTTACAATTTATAATGTTTAGACTGACTTTTCTTTTCAAAATTATTAAGCTTAAAATAAAATACAAAAAAATCCTTCATAAAAACATGTGCAGAACCATTTTTAACAACTACTTTCCTAACACTTTGCACTAACAAAGTAGATTAATGAATTTCTATCTGTGATTCAAATCAAGAGAATATAAGGCTAATTATGGCATACAGCCAAACAGTTCAGTGAACATTAAACTTGGTGAAAGCACAATGCACCAATTTACTGGAGAACGTCATTTTCCATTAGCATGAATTCTGTGTAGCTCCTCACAGCCTCCGGAGCCCTCTAGTGTGCCGCTGAGGAACTGTTCATTGTAATCCAGTATATAAACTATATATTATTTTAATCAATTATATATAATTCCTTTCTTCACATCATATGGAATTTCCATTAATCCAGGAGGCTAGAATATAATGAGGAATCACTATGCACAATTTTTCTTTAAATGTAAAACAAATTCTGCCTCAGGGACAAACTAAAGGCCAGACTTAAAGGTGAAAACTGCAGGACAAGGCGAAAAAAAAACTTCTTTATATTCCTGAAAAGTCACCAAATGACTGAATCTGTAGCTAAAGTTAAAGATTCACATTGATATTCTGTACTGTAATGCACTAACCTACAATATCTAACATAACAAAAATAGTTATAAGTATATCCATGTTTCTCAATAAATTATGTAATCTTCCATTTCACATTAAAAATAGTTTAAAGATATGAGTTATAAAGATCCAAAACACACTTGTTTCAGGTTTGTCCTAAATATTCTTCTCTAATTTCTGAACTGCAGGAATAGATTGTACTTAAATCACAGCACCCCAGTTTCTCAAGTTCAAGAAACAGGAAAGGAAAAGTCCTAAAACCACAGAGAAGTGTCCTAGATCTACATGACAACCTCAGAGGTGAAGTGGCTTTTCCCTCCTGCCCCGTCAGCAGCATCACAGACTTGCCACCGGGCTTCCCGCGGAATGTTTGAAATACTTCCTCAGAACCGGGGCCGGCTCGTCCTCAGTGTTCACAGTAAGGGAGGGCAGTGAACCAGAATGAATTAGGCTTGGATTTAACACGGGAAATCTCATGGCAAGTAGCCATTATTCGAGTGAGATGAAACAGGAACAGTCACAAAACACACTACTAAAAAATACACTACGACAAAACACATTACTGCTTTACTGAAGTAATTACTTCTTAACAATTAAATTTGTTTTCTTCAAATATTAGTATGTTCCTATGTGTTAAGAGACAGTGCTTCATGGGTCTCTCACATTTCTGTGCATCTCATGAGCAAGGACAGTTCTTGTTTGGGACTGTCTTCTCAAGAATGTTTGTACAGCAGACAGCCTTGGAAGTTATAGACACTGTCTCCCTCTGAATCAGAGGACAGGTTTGTTTACTGTCTAGTATGATAATGTTCACCTCCAAGCAAAGGTCAGACAGATTTGCTTACAAATCGGTGGGTTTCCTAAGCTCAGAGTTCCTCAGCTGTGACACAAGCCCACTGTGGGGGCTGCTCTGTGCCACCCTTGTGGGGCTCAAGGTCAAGGGGAACAGGCACCAGCAGGAAGCTTGTGCACTTGCTGTGCTAAACATAACAAAGTCCTTGGTCTCTGACCCAGGAATTTCATGTCTACAACCAATCCTGAAACTGACAGGCTAACTTGTTGGCTTGCAAGCAGGATAAAATCTCAGACCCTTCACAGTTCTTGACTGCCAACAGTTCTTGGCAACAAGGACAGGAGGCTAACAGAGACGTGGCTTTCTAGAAAAGACCTTTCAAAGGCTCACACAGGTTGGGTTAAGGGATATAAGAAGACTCCCAGGATCTAGTAGGGAACGCTCTCACCTAAGTGGTAGCCAAGCGGAAAAGCAAGAAACTACCTACTGTACGTCTGGAGGCTGAGATGCGCAGGGGTGTGAGGCTGAACCCACTGGGGGCTTGGTTGTGGTCCCCTCTCCTTTGAGTGGAATCAGGAAGGGATGTTACCATGGCAATGTAACAGCAAGCCCAGCAAGCTAAAAGGTCCCAAGGGTATAGCTGCTGAATCGAGGAGTTCTGAAGCTGAATGAGTGGTGTCAGAAATGAGGATGGAGAGCTTTGCATGAACCAAAGACATTACAAGTTCGGTTGCACCATGAGTGGCCACTCAAAGTGAAAGATGCTCTGCTTAATCGTGTGGGCCACTCATTTTCTCCATGTTCCCTCTCCCCTCCTCCCCCCCCCACTCTGACCTCCAGATGCTTGAGGAGAAAAGATGATTGGGGCAAAGTAGAGTTCTCCCTGTCCTTGGGAGGAATGAAAGCCACACAGACCCATCTGAGTATGCAGGAGTACTTCAGGGAAGAGAGGGACTCAAACTTTTATGGCTCTGTTGGGTACGGGAGCCCAAGACCATCCACCTAGTCCTTCTCAAAGGACTGTGAAATGACTCCACAGAACTGCTGGTAAACAGTGACAATTTAAAAAAAAAAAAAAATAGAGACAAATATAAATAGTGACATATATAGTTACAAACTATAATACAATGCCAAAAAATATTTTTGAAAGAGAAGTCATTTAATGATAATAATTGTAGATTATTTTATAAAGAAATAGACATTTAGATGGGAGAAAAGAAAGAGCTAAAGAAAAATTCATTTTGAATAAGGGTCATTTAAAATAATATTTCCCTTTTTGATAGTAGAGAAATTAAAGTTAAATAATGCTATTAAAAATTACAAGTTACCATTAATCTTACTAGCATCAAAGTAATAATACTAGTAACAGTAATAGTAGCTAGTATCGAAAGTAATATTACTTTCATTAATGGTGTCATGCTAACAGCCCTTCCTCCTTCCTCAAGAGGGGAGTGAATGACAGCCAAAAAGAGAAAAGAAAAAAAAAGAAATAATACAGTAAAAGAAAACATACTTACCAAAATATTAACATAGCAAAATAGATAAAAATACAAACGGATAAAAAGATAAAATCGAATATATCTATAATCATATATGCAAATTAGGCAAAAAAAAACAAAATTCAACCATATAAGACATACCTAAAATAAAGTGATACTAAAAAATATGAGTGAAATGAGATGATCAAAAGATTATTAAATGAAATTTTTAAAAAAGGTAGCAGGAGTATCTGATTTAATATAGAAAAATACCTTAAATGGGACATAGTAGGACATTTTATATTGATAAAATTTACTACACACTATATTATTATGTTCTATTTCTTTAGTTTAAATGGTGAGTACATAGGGCTTCATTGTTATTCTTTATATTATATTTAAATAAACAAAACTTTTATTCTTTATTTCTTGCATATGTTTACGTATATGATATTAAGCAAAAATTCATTCAAAATTTTAAAAAATAAAAAATTCGCAAGTGTAAGAGTCCATTTAAACAGGCAGCCACTGCTCAGTGGATACCGTCTGCCTCTGACGCAGATGAACATCAGAACCCCACCCCGGACACGGGGGGACCTCTGGATGTGAGGGCCTGCCTGGGTGGCATGGGTGGCTTGGCTGCAGCAGTGGAGCTGGGGACAGAGTTTCTCCCAAGAGGTAACTGCTACTTTTTCACCTGAAGCCGTGATGTCAGGTAGGGTCAGGCAGGCTGGGCTCTACAATACAACATTCCTATTTGGCCAGGAGCCCCGTGAGGGCCCTTCCATCTAATTGGTCATGGCGTCTAAGTTGCTCCACCCCAAAGTGGGGATGTCTGGCTAGACAGTCACATGGCCTCCACAGGCTGGGCAATCCATTTCAAAAAGAGCTGAGTGGCGGGTTAACGGCTGCCCTTTCTTAGGAGTCTACTTGAAGGCTGTGTCAGGCAGGAGTGTCTCTGCTACATTAGGAAACGGTCTTAGTACTTGGGAGTTAGGAAGTCTCTCATTAAAGCTTCTCCTCCCAGGATCCAATATTGTTTCTGTTGGGCCAAAGGCAGGGGACAGTCATGTGGCCAAGCATGTACAAGCATGTAAAGCATCAATAACAGTTATTTATTAGGCAGTGCAAGCCACACAATAGCTCAGGTTTGGGATTCCTTGCTTGACTCAGTAGCCCCACCACAATATCTTTGGACTGGCGCTGGTGGCTGGCTGCCCCAGTGTCATGCCAACAGCCCTTCCTCCTTCGATAGCAGGGGAATGAACGACAGCCAAAGCACCATTCAGCCTCATTACGCACAGGACAGTGGGGCACGCTTCCTCCCCCCACTCCCTCTCACCACTGAGTTGGGCACATTCACAATCAGATCTTAAAATTTTTTTTTTTTTTTTTTTTTTTTTTTTTTTTTTTTTTTTTGAGACAGGGTCTCACTCTGTCTCCTGGGGCTAGAATGCAATGGCATCATCATAGCTCACCACAACCTCAAACTCCTGGGCTCAAGTGATCCTCCTGCCTCAGCCTCCTGAGTAACTAAGACTATAGGCACATGCCACCACGCCCAGCTAATTTTTCTTTTATTTTTGTAGAGACGGGGTCTGGCTCTTGCTCAGGCTTATCTCAAATTCTGGACCTCAAGTGATCCTCCCATCTCAGCCTCCCAGAGTGCTACGATTACAGGTGTCAGCCACCATGTCCGGCCTGAAGAGTCTTTTCCTATCACCAAACCTGGCCTGCAGGGCCCTTGTCCTTCCTCCTCATCCAATCTCACTGCCAAAATTGTCAGGTCTGGGGTCTGGTTCTATACTTACTAAGCTAATAAGTTAGCCTGTTATTGTTACATGGATGCAGGCAGAAGACACAAGATTCCTGGGTTAGAAATAAAGGACTTTATTACTCAAGGCACAGCCAAGCAGCATGAGCATCAGCATGTCATTTCCCCTTGCTCCCAAGTCTCA